AATTGCAAGGTTGTTTGCGACCATCATACGGCAGTGTGTGTTCACTGTACGTCACTGACGCTCCTTGACGTATCTTACTCTAAGTCCCCGTCTTTTATCAAGGATCAGATGATTTGTGCAGTAGATGGAAAGTTATCATAAAATATTGATGAGAAGTGGCAAAGATAGCAATTATGTACATGTCTGGTTGTCACTTACAGAGCTGCCGTGCCGCTGTCTTTGGTAAATTGGTTAAAGCTATATAAATCTCTTTCATAATTAATCACGCTATATAATTGTTCGTTTCTGCCATGTCGGGTAATTAGGGAATTAGACGAGGCTGCTACGCGGCGCGGGTCAATTACTGCTTTTAATATCTTTATTTGTTTTTAAGTCGCCCTTTACAAGGCTGAACGGAAAGATCATGCCAGGAGTTCCGCAGAGTTGTTACACGTTAATTTTTCCGCGGCTAGTGATGTTTCCCTTCTGTGGAGTGCTTCGCCCCCTCTAGAAAAAAAAAGAAAGAATGCGACGCCAAAGGTTCTACATCAATTTCAATTTAGTTGACATTTATTTAGAACTCTGTAATAAACCAATACAAAGTGAGATAATATAAATATAATACAGTAATATACGAATACAAATGTGAAGGTTATAACCACCAAAAAAAGCCATATGTTTTTACTCTCGTTATTTAAATTAAGATTAATAGACAGCGAAATAAAGAAAAGAGTGTTATAGGAGATTACAAGGCTACATACATTGGCCAAGGATTGTAGGTGGAACAGCTCGGACACACTATCCGCTACGTTCACAAGTACCTCCTCAACGGCAAGGAAAGCACAGTTGGGGGTGACCGACCGACGCCATCTTGCCTGACTGCAATTTTGCCGCGACGCGCGCGGCCGTGCCATGTACCCGCATGTACATAGTGCAAATCCCCTGGTGTACGTGCGTCACACACAAGGAACGGTGCGTGTCAACCAGCTAAATGTCCCGCCCCTGGGACGTCGTTGCTAGGTAAAAGGGCGCCCTCTTTCGTTGGCACAAGGAGCCCATACAACGTAATTACAAGAACAAAAACATACATGATCGGACGCACAAACAAATGACAAACAAAATCAACGTAAGCCGTATTATAAACCAAGCTGATACAAGATTAAAGAACAAAAAAAATGCACAAAAACAACAATGGAAACGAAAGAAAGACTAAATAGTGAATATTGAAAGAAAACCAAATAAATGGTAAGGAAGGGAAACCTATGATACCTAATTATAGTCAGGTGGATAAGATCCAATTTTTGACAAGATCGGGACCGACGAGGATAGCTAGCGGTGTTGAAGTCCAGTCCATTGCAAGTCCTCACATTTCCGCACAACTCCATCGCAAACGCTACAATCTCATTCAAGTGATGAGTCACATATATTGGCAAAAGCATCCATTCGTTATTGTTCATCAAATGTTACTTGTGACTGGACTTGTTTATGCAGTGATTTTTTTGACCGTACTCGTGCTGGACTCCACGACACTTATTGCTGGAGTGTGTGGGATTGGAGAGGCTACTCGCTGAATGTCCCAGTCCAGTTGCAAAATACCGATTTTAACCCTGACTCGATTTTACCCGTGACCCGGTTTTACCGTTCACACAATGCCTGTTGATGATTGATATGCTTTTGAGACCTGTTGATTTTGAGTCTGGATTGTGGCACCTCGGCCAAGGGAAATGATAACCAAATTATACGTTCCTTTTAAAGGGCCAGCTCCAGTGAACATGATGCGTATTAATACAGAAAGCCATATTGGCTTCCGTCTTGTATAAATTTCAATTTCCCGAAGCCGAGGTGGCACAATGTTCTTTTGGAATTATCAGGTCTCCAAGGCCAAATACACCACCACAAATTCTTCTAAGGTTTAAAATCTGTCTAGCTGGTCACTGCCGGACACTGGATTAAATTTCATAGTTGTTAACCCTAAAGGGGCCGGGTTATTTTGACCATCTCTCAGCCCCGCCCCCCCCCCCCCAAGATCTCGGCCATCGAGTGACGAAACATTTTGAAATTCAGCACATGCATAGAGCAACTCTTCCTAAAGATGCCCAGGAAATTTCATGACTATAGGTCAAAGGGTTTTGGAATTATGGCTAATTAATTATTCATATGTACGAATGGCAATTCTGCTCTGTGTACACGACGTATATGCGAAAATTCAGTTTTCACGGCGCGTAGCGCCGGAAAAGTTTTCGCTACGTGCCATCCCGTGGTCCGATTTTTTTAGAAGCTATCACGGAAAATGTTAAGGGGGGGGGGGGCGGATTCCGCCCCCCGGCCCCTTTAGGGTTAAGTCGATCTTTGAGTAAATATTTCGTATAACCTTTATATAATGAAGTCTGTTATCATGGTAGGTCATCTTGGATATCTCTAGAATTAGGCAGCAGGCCAAACCATAAAACAAGTATTTGACGGTAAAACTTGATCATTATCGGGTCCGTCGCCGGACTACAATGATTTGCTCGCACTGTTGCCCTCTGCTGTCCGAGGCCAGCTTAGCAGCCATTTTGGAAGTCATATTAAAAGAGAAAGAGTATAATATGAATTCACTGATGACTAAATCCGTGTGCGACCCGTGTGCCGTGGTTCATGGGTTCGAATCCTGCCCGTGGCAACATGGTGCTTGGGCTCTTGAGCAAGGCTCTTACCTTTACTGCTTCTTCCGTCGGATGGGACGTAAAGCCGTAGGTCCCGTGTGTTGTGTAATGCACGTTAAAGAACCCAGTAACACTTATCGCCAAGACAAGGGGTTTGCCACAGTGTTTCTGGCAGTGGCTGCGATAAGCGCCGAAGCACCTTGTAAACCCTTATAAAGTGCTAAATAATGGCTCTCATAAAACATCAACTTTATTTACCTTTCTTAAATAACAGACATAATTTCCAGCGCCTTGAGTACCTTATTGTTGGTAGATACGTGCGCTATATAAGACTCCGGTATTATTATTAGTAAACCCACACTACTTTTGCACTACATCACTCGTCATATCTTTGTAGGAATTATGTTTGAGAACAAATAATGTACATATGCATGTACGTGTGGTAATTACACCGATCTTGGCGGCCACGTTCTCCAAAGATAACGAGGTAGGATCACGCCGTTGTAGTTGAATTTGGAATTGTTTGTACTAATATAATATGTTCTTGTCTGCCTCCGGACAGGCAGGTACTCATTACGTCTTATATACGGGTACGGCCAGCGTATTTTTTTTCTAAGAGGGTTGGGGCCAAGTGATGCATAAGTCAATTGTTATTATCAGTTTCCACTTCTCGAAGTAGCACTAGTCTCCTTGTGTGCTGTAAGAGTATCGAAGCAATCAATCTCCCAACTCGTGTGGTTTTCCCGCCAATATTGTTCAGGCCACGCGCGGGAACCTCGCATGAAGCGCGCCATTACGCACTTGTTTTAAACTAGTCCGGTTTGTTGGCGGTAGTTGCACGCAGTCGAGGACAATCCACTACGCGCCGATATCGGTACGGTGCGCTACCGACTGCCAGACCTTCACGTTGGGACAAGTGTGAAGGGAAAAATGCCGCATACTCAGCCGAAACATCTTTAAGCTGGCCGATGCAAGGTGTCTATTAAAGAAAGGGTTTCAAACTCTATGAATATCGAAACTACTGAATTATTCATGACATGGCGCCAACCGTCCTGGGAATAAAATGATTGCATACGGCCATCTTGGTAGCCATATTGGAAGCAAAAATTGAAGGGATTGGTAAAAATGGATTGACTGACTACTAAAATCCACATCTGTGTATAATATTGCTCATCCAAAAATATTATTGGGCACACATATATAATGTTTATATCCTGAAAGCCATATTGGCGGTCACTTTGGATATCTAATTTATCTAAGGATAGCGGGTGGCATCATCCAGATTCGGAATCAGTAGGTCTGAAGGCCAAGAAATTATCAAGAAATATTGTTGTGCCGATAGAGGAGCATCTACCATGAAACTATTTGTAGAGCAGACTTTAGGGGAGCAACCCATCTACGTACGGTATGATAAAAACGGAAGAGCTCGACTCCTTCGTCAAATAGACCAACCTGACTTGTGAAGGCAACTAACCCGCAGGCTCCCTTAGTGTAATACCTGTCCAAAGATTTGATTGATGAATGAGTCCACACACGTACACAGACAAACAAAAACCTAGTTTGTGTGACAATTTTGTATTATTCGCTAGAACACCATTATTTTGCTAATAAATGATAAATCAATGATTAAATACCGTTTAAATAGGATTGCATATTGTCGCTAAATGAGTGACAATCAGAGTTGCAGGTAATAAGCGACTTCCCGATCCTAATCGTCTCCTGGTATGTTTCATTAAGAAACGTTTATTCAGCATCAGACTGAATCTTTCAACATCCAATAAAAGCAGCTTGTAACGGGTGGGGTACCACACGAAGCATCATTTGCCCACGGTGAGCTGACAGGGACAGATTGTCATTGTAGCATCGTAGCGAATGTTGACGACTTCAGCTTTATCTTCGTACAAGAAGTCAAGAAAGGTGTGTCCTAATGCGTCGATATACTATCGGTAAAATTTGTTCCTTCCGGCAGCTGCTCAGAAACGCTCTGACGGTAAACTGATCATACACACTCTGAAGCGGATCATGGGCACCTGTTTCCGATTCACAAACATTTTGAGAAAATTACATTTTGATACAAAACCGTACGTGTTTAGTACATGTGTAAGTCGCCATCCGTGTATTCAAATCTTTGGTTTTCGAACAAGCTATCTAGACTGATCCCTAGATCCACTCGCGGTGAAACGACGCAAATGCGAGGGAGAAACACTCAGTGATGTATGCTACTCTTTAGCCAGTGCAGGTAGTGAGCAACAGTAATTCTCCTCAGTTTTACAGACCTATCAAGGAGTACTCCTGAAGAGACTGCTGAATCCATCCAAATAAAAACACTAACTATACGCACCAAATTGGAAATAAGCATCAGCAAAAACATTAACCATGAATACAACTGATGAACACAATGAGGAACCAACTGTGGAGAAGTGGGTGTGTCAGATCATGGCAGCAGAAGGAGTTATTGGTGTCTTAGGGAACCTCTTAGTGTGCTACGTCATCCTACGCGTCAAATTCTTACACAACATGACGAACTACCTGCTGGTGAATTTGGCTGTTGCTGATATGCTGGTGAGTCTGCAAGTATTCTTATATTATTCAACATCAGACTGTCCGCTTATTGCTCTTGCTCCAGTTAGCCACGGCGTGAGAGACTTGTACTGCAGACTTCTGGCATCGAGGTTTTTGGCATGGGCATTGTCCTATGCTTCTGCCTACAATCTCTGCGTGGTTACATTAGAGAGGTACATTGCCATAGTACACCCTCTACACTATTCGAGGAAACTCACAACAGCACGGATGGTTACTTTAGTTGCTCTGATGTGGGTGATATCATTTCTGATATCTCTACCTCTTCTATTCACAGTCGAGCCAAGCAATGACCCTAATAGGATTTGCTCAGTGACAATTCCTCATCCTTTATTTTCAATTCTACTCAGCATATGTGCATTTTTCGTTGCATATTTGTTCCCCCTAACTTTAATGAGTTTGGCCTACTACAAGATGCAGGTCACTCTCAAACGACAAGCAACAGTCCTGAAACTGCATCATGCAAGGGCAGCAGCCTGTAATCTTGTGATTGCTAGACAGAACCTGGTCAGCATGCTTAAAACTGTCTTGGGAGCTCTCATTGTCTTATGGACAATGGATTATTTTGCTGTTCTTCTCTGCGTGCAGACAACAGACAAGGCTCAGTTCTCGTTCTGTGGATCAAAGGTTTTCCGGTATATTAGAATTTTCGCTAATTTATTGTTTAATTTCAATTCAGTCATCAATCCCATCATCTATGAGTTTAAATACAAGAAATTCAGGCAAGGCCTCAAGGTAGCTTTTTGCAGCTGCTCCAAAAGGCAGGGCGGTAACAGAGATGATATTGAGATGGCACCATTATGACTCTCATGGCTGGGGCCGAAAGCTTCTGAAGGAATGCAGGATCTATAGTAGTACTATAGCATTAACTCGCCAAGGTTGTGCAGATAAACAATCTGCTTTCATTCAATAACAAATGACGTGCTTAACGTTGAAAAAAAATACTGTATGGTGATTCTACAGGGGAAGCATTTGTCTTTACTCCATTATCAACACACATTGTGTGGCAAAGTGATAGCCAGACGTGCACAATTATTGCATTTTGTGCCACACTGATCAACTCCTGATTTATGGAAGTTTTTAATCATCCTCAAAATTATCCGATTCTTAGTATATATAACGTGTACCCAGTGTGGGATACGCCACTGAAAATCAGCCTTCAATTTGCAAACAATATACTAACGCACATGATGATATACATGCTTACCACTAGCACGGAATTCATATTGCTAGATAATGAAAGGTTTGCGGAAACACCATGTGCGAATGATTTCTCAATTAACAGAATGGTTCGGAAAAGAACCAGAGGTATAAACTCGACGTTCCGGTCAGTATACTCTGACCGTCTTGGAGAGTCAGGAACTCTCCTGAAGACGGTCAGAGCATACTGACCGGAACGTCGAGTTTATACCTCTAGTTCTTTTCAGAACCATTCTCTTAGTTGAGAAATCATTCGCACATGGTGTTTCCGCAAACCTTTCATTATTTAGTATCTCCACCATGCAATGCCTCAAATCTTACTCATATTGCTAGAAACGTGTTCTTCTTTAAATATAGAGGGGAGCCTAGTTTCATTGATAGCGGCTGGTTTCAAAGCTACCATAAAATAAAACAAGTAATACATAGCAGGCAACTTTGATGTTGTCACGTGGGCTATACTTCTCGAAGCATGCCATTCAGAAGTGTTTGCGATGAATTTTTTTTTTCTTTCCAAAATCATTTGTACATTGTGTGATTATAATTATGTTCATCAACCATCCATTTTCCGGGTAGTGGTATGTTATTTTTTAACCATTTTACCGACTTCAAATTTCCAACATTTTAATATTATTATTTTTTTAATTCAATGCTTAATATGAACATACGCTGTTGCTTTTTTACTTTATTCATCAACTCCCGATTAATTGAAGCTTAATTTCAATCATCTCCTACAATTTATGAAATTGAACGAAATAGTGCATCCGGGATGTGTTTGAGTTTGGTTCTTCATTAAATAGGGGAAGTTGAACACTAGAGGACAATAATATGGTCCCCAATTCCCGAAGCTCACCAATTTGGCGATGTACATATGGGAGGTCTTTCTAAAAAGTTAAGAGTACAAACAAAAGAGGGACAATAGGGGATCCCAGACATTTCAACAAAATGAAGAGAAACACTAAAGGGAATCAAAGAAACAAATTTGGGGAGAAAGAGTTTTGATAGTGTGAGTAAAATGAGTTTTTTTTTCAAATGTTATTCTTAACTACACGAAAACAAAATAATGTCCACAGTAGGTATATGTAACGTAAACATGCAAAGACAAACAGTATGGACTTAATGACTTTGAGAGAGGTGTTCATGATAGCATGCACTGTACAGGGTGTCCCAATAATTGTCCCTCTAGAGGGTGTACATAATTCTCGTAATATATGGGGGGGGTTTAATTTCAATTATAAAATTTATGAACTCAAACATTTTTTTTTTCTTGTGTGAAGTTTTCGTCAGATTCAGTTCAGTGGTTTTGAAACAAAGGTAGTTAATGTAGCACTAATCCATTGTTCTTCTTTCCAAGTTTGACAATACAAGGTGTCCCACAAAAAGTCCCTCTCAGACATGTAGAAGCGTTTGAACAAAACAAATCATTGTAAAGCATATTTAGCGTACTATTTTCAGTAAAATGTCCTTCGGATTTGGTTTACCGGTTTTCCAAATAAATATGTTGTATAACACAGTGCCATTAACATTTAGCTTAAATTGGAGAAATACTATTGTTGACATTTCACATTGTGAACTGTGCCTATTTGTTTTGTACATAATCATATTTAAACGTAACAAAGGAGTGTCTCAAACAGATGTTATAACTATTGAAAGTGATTCAGGACATTCAGACAGGGGCGGGCCTGAGAAAACAGAAACACATTGTGTACGCTCTAAATGTAAGCGTTGTCAAACGCGTAATCACGACCATTATGTCCGTTTGGTCGATTATGTCCGACAAATTACATCCGACGACCGATTATGTCCGACCCATTGTGTCCGACTGCCGATTATGTCCGACCCATTGTGTTCAACTGCCGATTATGTACGACCCATTGTGCCCGACGGCCGATTATATCCGACCCATTATGTCCGACGATGGGATACGTCCGACCTATTGTATTTAGATGGTCGATTACGCCGGATTCATTCGGTTGTGTGCTGACATTATTAAATTATTGCTGGATTGTAACTGCAGATATTCGGCTATAGGGCCATCGCAGATTGGTAATTTTAAAAATTATAGGTAATTTTTAGTAATTTTTACTATTCAAAATTAAAGAAGGAAGTCCATAGGATCTAGCTCGGTGATTAACAATCAGATTTTGAGATAATAAGCGACTTCCCACTCATCGTCTCCGACATATTTCATTCAAAAAGTTTAATAAGCGACAGACTGAATCTTCCCAGCTGATAACGGGTAGGGTACCACACAACGCATCAGTTGCCCACATTGAGCTAACAGGAACACATTTGCATTGTAGCATTGAAGCGAATGTTGATGACTAGAAAGCTTTATCTTCGTTCTAGACAGAAATTATTATAAGGTGTTTCCTTGTGGGTACATTGGCATACTATCAGTAAAATAGTTTCCTTCCGGCAGCTGCTAATGTATGCTCTGACGGTGCACTGATCACATTCAATTTGATGCAAGATCATAGCCACTTATTTCCCGATTTGAAGACGTTTGAGACAATTGTCAGTTTAATACGAAAAGTTTAGTACATTTGAAAATCTTCATCAGTGTATCAAAAAATGTGGTTTTCGAACGAAGTATCTGGACGGTTTCCGAAATCGATTCGGGTTGAAACGACTCACATTTGATGGATACACTGTCACCAATTTCTGCTCTCTCTCTCTTAAGCGAGCAACAATAACTCTCAAGTTTTAATAGACATACAAAGGAATGCTTCTTAAAAGACCGTGGAATCCATAATCAGAGCATCCTAACAAACCAGTAACTGTACACACCAAAAAGTTTATAAATAAGCATGAATGCAACTGATGAACACACCGAGAAACCAACTGGAGAGAAGTGGTTCCGTCAGATCATGGCAGCAGATAGCCTTGACCAAGGCTCTCAGCTTGTTCCCCAAACGAGCTTGCTCCCACTACATACACCGCCCGCCGCGCGCCCCCGCCCGCCCGCCGCGCGCCCGCCGCGCCAGCTAGTTGCATTGCCGTTTGCCTCAACGACCCTTGCATGTGCTTTGGCTGCACGTACATATGTACGCCCCACAAACACATCCGTAAACAGCAGTACGTGCAGTAGGTCGAAGCGGATGACAACCTTGACCCAACCATAGCGAATTTCTTATGTGTTTCTTTATATTTTCGGCCAAATTCGGCCGAGAATTTCTGATGCGCATATATAACACGATATCCAATCAAAGCCCGTAAACTTTGACCCACGAGATACATATTTGCGTTTGCGTGGCAAACCCTGTCCACTGTACTCAAAACTAATGTCCACAGTCCAGGTTTTTCATCTCACTTTCAAACCATTTCTCCAGTTTTTTTCCAAACAAATGAAAATAAATTCACATACGTACGACATATGTATTTTAACGCATACGTACACATTTATTGTATGCCATACCTACGACATACATACAACTAGTTGTAAGTATTATGTCATATGATATGCGAGTCATAAATACGAGCTACTTAATACATAGGTCGTACTGTGAAGTCGAACTCACAAGATTTGCATATGTTAGACATAATCGACATACAATTCATTCGTACGAGTTAAAATGTATTTACGACATACTCGTATGAGACATACGTCGTACCCTGTCGGCACATTAGTCGTAGTACGACATATGTCGTACTGGCACCGATCGACATATAAGTCATACGTACCGTGCGATATAATTTATATGTCGTACCATGTCGACATAAGTCGTGCGTACGGCATATAACTTATAAGTTGTACGTACTCAGGAATAAGTTAGCTGAAGGAGATATCATGTCCCTATTTACCGTGCAGCCTAGTGGAAACAAGTCGGTTGTACAGATTCAATAGTGTAAGAGCTTTTTTGGCCGCTGACCGAGAACTTCAGCGTAGCGTGTTTCCTTTTTTATTTCATTTTCGCCGACCCGAACTATGACTTTTTAAACTAATTTTTATAAATATTATTTCAGAGTTTATTTTACATTATTATTACCACAGGCAGTCAGGTTTATTAAGTTTGGTTGTATTTTGCAGTATAATAAATATTTTTTTAGCCATTATCCAATGAGAGAAGACTATTTACCATAGTGCGTACTAATTATCATATTAAGCATATTACAGTTGCGTCAAGGCTGTCATCCGCCTCGACTTACTGATGCTTTTAGTCAATTGCAAAACTCAAAAAAGTTTGGCTGAAATTATAGCCTCAACAGTCGCTATGAACTAATTCAATGATTACCTGTAGACTTCAAATAAAGTCAACTTGTAAGTCCACTTGCGATTTCTGCTGTCTGGCCGCCATATTTGTCCGTTACTAGGGAACGAATAACGCATGCGTGAGGTATTTCCACCAGTGACTCTGCTCCACGAGCAGTGTCTGTGGTGGCTGACCTGTGTGAGCCCGAAAATAACTTCAGAGCTAATCGAACGGCACGGGGCTGACCCTTGTCGACCAAGGTGAGCTAAACGAACGCACTCAATTTACGACCATCATACGGCAGTGTGTGTTCACTGTACGTCACTGACGCTCCTTGACGTATCTTACTCTGAGTCGCCGTCTTTTATTAAGGATCATAAAGATTGATTTGAAGTGGCAAAGATGGCAATTATG